TATATATATATACATATATACATACTATATATATACATTAATATATTATATTATATCATGATAATAATATATTTTGACATGAACTATTCGCTTAATATGAGTTATGAAATTTAAATAAACGAAAACTTAGCTTGACAAGAAAATTTTGAATATATTTTGAATATTTTATCAGAAATTTGTCAAATTTATTTGTTCATTATTCATTTGTCCATTATTCAATTGATAATTGAATTATCTAATATTATTTTCAAAAGAAATATTATTGTATTATTATATTTTCAAAAAAAATTATTATTATATTATTGCTTACCTTTAAATTGCTGCATAATTGCCAATTTATTTCCATTGTTTCCAGTTATTTTTCAAGTAACTCACAATTAACAATAAAAATTTAAAAAGTGAATGGACACTTGTCCGTTAATTTGCCGCTATAAAGGTTCATAAATGTATAATTTTATGACACATATTCTGAAACTACTGCAGCGCACTCTTATTGTAGAATGAATAAAGTTCTTCTTTGACCTGGACACAATATTTTCGTATTTCTGTATTAAATATTAAAATGAATTTATATTTGCAATTAAATTAATGCTATGCTATATTTCAATTAAAATTACAAATTTATATATTTTATTGTATATATTTTAGAGTTGTATAAAAATATGCATAACAAGAATTTAATCATATATTTATGATAAATATTTGTTCATAAAAGAATTTTTATTCTATAATTCATTATTTTAAAATTCATATTGTGTTTTATATTTCAATTTATATTCAATCTATTTCATGACTATTTAATATCATTTTATGAACACTGATATAGTATCACATATGATTATCTCATTGTAGTAGGTGGCGCTTTCTCAAATTAATTTAGTGTATAGAACAAATTAATTTGTATATTATATGCAATTATTGACACATTTTATAAAATAATATATTCACTGAGGTAATCCACAATAAACATAGAAAAAATTCTTTGCAATGGAAAAACATATAAAACCATTAACAGATAACAATGTAGATTCTCAATTCATGGCTGTACTAGCTGCAGTAATCGTGATTATTATAACTATAGGTAATTAAATATATATAGGTTATAATTTTTTATATTTTATATATGTTAATTTTTAATTATCATGTAGTAAAAATTAAAGCAAACTTAGTAATAATTTTCACGAATAATAAATTTTGTGATTTTTATTATTACATTATTTGAAACAACATTACAGTCCTTTTTCATGTAGCAAATAAAATTAAAAATATGTTTATTTATTAAAAATTAAAAACTTTTCATATAAATTATTGTAAATTATATATACATGAAATTTACATCACTATTAGAGTAATAATAAGATGTTTTTTTTTTTAAAGAGCACATATATTCAATTTTTTTTATATTTTTTACTAAAATTTATAAATAATATTCACAGTCTCGTAGTTTCAATTGTCAACATTCTATAAATACCACATTTATTTTTTTTAAAAAAAATGTATATCATTATAGCCACAGTAATTAATAAACATTATAAATATAGCTGCAAGTAATGAAACAAACATAATATTATAGTTGTATACATAATATAAAAATAGGTACATTTTTATGTAAAAATTTCTTAGGCTTTTATCCTAATATTTATAAAATTAAGTTTGTAAAGCCATTTGTTTGGTAGTAATAGCTCAATTTTAAACATTACTACTTTTTTTATAAGTTTCTGTTCATTTCTTTTGCATAGTGTTATTTGCCATATGGCACAAAAGAAGATCTATAGGAAATAGTATATTGTTAACTGGTCTTAGTGATGCTGGTAAAACATTGATATATGCACATCTACTTTGTTCTAAATTTGTTAAAACACATACATCTGTAAAAGAAAATATAGGAGACATCATAATCAATAATGTAAGTTTATATTAATATATTTTTATTAGTTCTTATAAAATAAAGCTTAACATACCAAAAACATAGGCTTCTAAAGTTGTTGGTGTATTTAGCGTTCTCTGAAAATTGTTGATATACCTGGTCATGAACGTCTGCGTTATAAATTTTTTGATCAATTCAAATTATCTGCAAAAGGACTTGTCTATGTGATTGATTCAGTAACTTTCCAAAAAGATATTCGAGATGTAGCAGAGTAAGTACACACAAATGGTAAGTCATCACATCCTGCAATATGAATAATAAATAATCTTTCACTTTTAGATATTTGTATAATTTACTTTCCGATTCTGTTATACAAAAAAAACCTGTACTGATATTATGCAATAAACAAGATCAGACTATGGCAAAAGGTTCAGTTGTTATAAAGACTTTGTTAGAAAAAGAAATGAATTTATTACGTATGACAAAAACAAGTCAATTGGAAGCTACAGATGCATCAGCAACAAATGTTTTCTTGGCAAGCAGGAAAAAGATTTTGATTTTTCCCATCTAGATATAAATATTGAATTTGCAGAATGTAGTGCATATAACAAGGATTCTGAAACTTCTGCAGATATGGAGCAACTAAACAATTGGTTAAAAAAAATTATATAAAAATGTTAAAATGTCCTTTCATTTTTCCAAATAATTATTTGTTTGTAACTTTTTAAATTGTTTTTTATAATTGTTTAATTTATATAGTTGACTTTCAGTTGTATTTTTATAATAATAAAATTTATTATCTTTCAATTTTATCATTTGACAATACAATTCTCAACAATTACATATTAAAAATAATTGTCTTACATCAAAATTATGTTACATATAATTAAATTTTGTAGCTTTTACTTAATATAACTTAAAATCTATTATAATTTTGTTCTAACCTAACGATGTTTTCTATTTGAGCAAATATAGCATAAAATTCGTTTATACTTCTCACATATTCTATAACAAGTTTGTTATAATTATTAATTAAAATTTTAAGATATTTTTGCTTACGTCTAATATTAAATATAAATGATATAAATAATAGTATTTTTCTTTCACTTTAAAAACATCGTTCCGATGATCAACAGATAATCGATGCAACTGCAGGAAATGTAAATGCTTAGTTAATATAGATAGCAAATGGCGTTTTATTTAAATATTTTTTCTTTTTCCCATTAAATAAATAATTGTTATTATTAATAACTAACAAAAAAATAAAAAAGAGTAAATTTTGCGTGAGATATATCGAAATATTTTTCAAATAAAATAAATAAATTATATATTTATATATATATAATTAATTATAAAAAATATTTTTTTTTACATATATTATAACTTATTATTATAAATTAAAAAATAATTAAAAAATATATAAATTCTTTTGTTTTCAAATGATATACGAATATAAATATAACATTCTATAATTACTGTCAACTATATGATGTCAACTATATATTATCTTTATAATAATCATTATATTTTAAATCAATATTTTAAAATATTTTATTATTAACTTTTAAATTTTCGAAAAAAAAGTTTAATATATTAGATAAATCAATATTAAATTTACAAAATTGAAAAAAATAGATATCATAAAAATATGCAACAAAATTTTTCATAAATTGAATTAAGTCTTCAAAATATTAAAAAAGAATAATTTTGATATTAAATTAAGCTTAGCTCCAATTAAATAACATTTCTATATAATATTATTGTAATATATTTATGATACAATATGCATATGTAAGAATTAATAACTAACTAATTATGTAAGTGAAAACTAGATATCTTAAGATTATTTACATTATAATAAGATCAGATATTATTCTTAAATACGTATTTTTTAAATTAAAATTATAACTTACATGTATAAAAAAAATATTAACTATATTTTATTTAAAATTGCATCTTATAACAAAAAAACTTTATAAATGAATCAAAAATTTAAGTTTTAAATATAGTAAACTTATTCAAAATAACTAAAAATTATTGATTAATAAACCAGAACGAAATCTGTTTCACATTATGCGCCATTGTACGCCATTTTGAATTTAAAGCACTTGAAATTATAAAGAAGAAGGAGTATAACCTCGAATATCAATCATGTGTTTACTTATAAAGTACTATTTTAGATAATATAGATAAGATAAAACAAATTGTTTTGCATATTTCGATCGTTGTTCGGCCATATTTTTACTGAATCACGCATTTTATGAGTGACATTCAATCTTTTCCTTCACTCGGAAAAATGTTTTAGTGTCAAAAGAGAATTTTCAAACAGTATATTATATTATGTCTCATTCCACGTTTCAGAATAAAAACTACAATGTTAATATTGGAGGTAACTTTATTTTTCAATAACTATTTTTATAAAAAGTTTTTTTATTACTATTAATATGAAATTATAAACTAAATATTTATACATATTTATATATAATATAATTCAATTAATTGACTAAATTAATTTTTAAAAAAAAGCATCCATAATATACAATACTATAAATACTTCAGATTTGACTTACTTAATTCTGAACAGATTTAATTAAACAAATCAACTTTTGAAATAAAACAGTATGTCTTGAATATTTATCGTCACAAGACGATAATAGACTATTAAATGTTTACCATAATATATGTATACATGTACAGGAATGCAATGAAGTTTGATTTTAATTATTATTGATATTAAAATCTTAAAAGTTATTTACAACATAATTTGAATATAATTTTTAAATTAAGAATTTATTTTAAAAATTCGTCACATCACGATTATGACAAAGTTATAATATAGTATTTTAGAATTATAAAGTAATATTTCAATTTTAATAATATAGCTTAAACTTATAGTATTTGAGTATAAATTTAAAAAAAATTTATAACATTAAAGATTACTTAAAATCAGATAAAAAATAATCAACTTTTATATTTTTTATAGATATGCGAATTCCATACAAGGACAAAAACGAAACTTTTACAGAAAATCATCTCGTAAGTAAAGAACCAATTGGTCAATTTAAAGCCTGGTTCGACGAAGCGTGCAAAATTCCGCAAATTTTTGAAGCGAATACCATGTTTCTTGCTACAGCTACCAAGTAATATTAAATAAATTAAATTTTCACTGTATATTAAAAAACAAAATTTTTCATTGTAAATTAAAAACTGTCATTTTATGAAAATCGATCTTTATAGAGATGGAATTCCGTCCGTGAGACCAGTATTACTCAAAGATTATGGAGAAGATGGTTTCAAATTTTATACTAATTATGAAAGTAGGAAAGCTCGCGAAATAGTAAGTACATTATATTCATATTTTCTAACATTGTATATATCTATTTGATTTTTAGGCTGAAAATCCAAATGTAGCGGTGAATTTTTATTGGCAACCTTTACATCGAAGTGTAAGAATCGATATATCGATAAATCGATATATATCTAATATAAGAATTATTTTTTAAAAATAATATTAAATCAGCAATAGTATTTTCCATTTATTTTCCATTTATTTATATTAATTTAATTAATAGAGATTCTTTAATAAATTTTTTTTCTTAAGTAATTATTTTTAAATAATATTCATATTTAAATTATCATTATAAATTATTATCATATTAAATTTTCATTGTATATAATTATTAAAAATTAGGTACGTATAGCAGGTACAATAAAGAAAACTTCTTTAGAAGATTCAGAACGTTATTTTCAAAGCCGACCATATGCAAGTCAAATAGGATCAATGGCTAGTAAACAGAGTAGCGTAATCGCAAATAGAAATACACTTATAATAAAAGAAAGAGAATTGTTAGCTCAATTTCCAGAAGGAAAAGTTAAAAAACCAGATTGGTGGTAATTAATATAAATTATTAAAAGATAAATTATCAAAAATATATTATATAATATACAATGATAATAGATTAATTTGACTTTTAGGGGAGGATATATTATTATTCCACATTCCATAGAATTTTGGCAAGGTCAAAGCGATCGCTTACATGATAGAATTCATTTTAGACGATTAAAACCAAACGAAAAAATCGACAATGTACTTGTTCATCAAGGAGATAATGGATGGGTTTATGAAAGACTATCTCCATAAACAATATAGAAATAATTAGATTATGTATTAAAAATACAAATGCAGGAAAGACAATATTTTCTCAGTAGCAAATTCTATTTAGGAAAACTACTTAGGTAATACTATTTTCTTTCAATTTTTAAAATTTCTCTTTGTAATCCTAAAAAAAATATATATATATATAAAACTGTTGCTCGTTTAAAAAAATTGTAAAATATATATTTACCCTCTTTACTTTTCCACACTATTTTAACATCAAAAATACCATCTTCTGTTATTAGGTTTTCGAATTGTCTCATTCCTCCTCCAACACCAAAATAATAACTTTTACCAGCAATAAACCTGAGAATGGTTTTTAATATTATATTTTATTATCATAAAAACTCTGAACCAAGGTTATATATTATTATACTTGCCCAACACCATTTTGACTGAGTTTTTGTTTAAAAACTTCATACAACTTTTTATGGTTATTGGGATTATAAATTGTTTCGCTTGTAAAAATCAGATCATATCTTATGAATTCGTTCTCATCACTACACAATTTCGTAAATGATTCCCAATCGCCGCAAAAAAATTGACATTTCTTTAATATACTTTTTCGATCTTCAAAATTTAACATAACATTTGGAATTGTTACAGTTTTAATTATTTCTATATTCTGTGAAATTATTTAACCATACAGTTTATTTTATAACGAACATAAAAATTACTATAATAGATACGAACATAATCTTGAAAATGTACAGTCGAATTTTTAAGAAGAGCAATCAGACCAATTATACCAGTACCACATCCCAAATCCAAAACAAATTTATTTTGGAATTCAATGTTGTTTTCTGATAAATATCGTGCTAAATCATAACTGCATTCCCAAATTTTTAAGCCACCTTTTAAAAATATGGATATGAGAAACATAATTAACAAAAAAAAAACGAGATTTTCTTTTAAGTAAAGTTTAAGTATTAGTCTACCTTCGTATTTAGCGGGAATAAGATCAGAATGTTGTATCTCTGCCTCTATAATATTACTGCAATTTTCTTTTTGCAAGTCATACAAAGCTTTTTCAGATCTAATTAACTTTAATTTACAATCCGGAAATATTAAATATTCTGTATAATCGTTAGATTCGTAATATTTTTCGATTTGCAATTCCGATATCTCCACTTTTGAAGCAGGAATCCAATCAATTGTCGATTTTTTCATATCGTCATTTTTTTCTAAAATAACTGCATTTAAATCTTTTTTATAAAATTATTTCTTAAAATATTAATTTATAATCAACAAAAATAAGAATTTAAAATTAACCATGCGCAGATGTAGTATAACAAATATAACCTCAAAATAATTTCTTACACTAGGAATTTGAACTAATTTTATAGAAAACATAACAAAAATACCTTCATCTTTCTTGTTATTTGAAAAGCCGAATTTAAACATTGCATTTAATAGTTATGTTCACAATTATTCACAAGAAACTAATATAAACTAATAAAAATAAAATAATTGAAATCAAAAATCATATCAGAATCAATACGAATGAGATATACTAAAATTAAATTTATTCGTCAATAATAGGACATATATATGATTATTATATTTTAATACTGTAAAATTATTATATTAACAGTGTTAAAAATGTTTATAATGTTTATGGGTAGTATAATTACATTAATTAAAAAATTTAAATTATAAATAACATATATAAAAGTGTAATGAATTAAAATTACATAAATAATTTTATTTACTTATAATTACAATAATATAATTATATAATAATATATATGTAATATAATAATATATGTAAATATATATATATATATTAAATAAAAATTATTAAATCAAACATTTCAATTTAACATATATATATATATATATTAAAGTGAAATGTTTGATAGTAATTTTTATCTTTCAGTCCTTAAAATGTCTAAACTTTTCATGTTACTAATAACAAATTTATATTATTAACAAAAAAAATTATGCAATTATTCCATTATCAAATAAAATAACGCAATTATCAATCTTTGTATCTTATCACAGTGATATTTTATTGTATCGTTCTATCTTTTAAATCTTTAGATTTTCACTTATCAATATTTATAAATCAATTAAAAATCAATGTTTTTTTTTTTTAAATATTCCGTGAAACAAAGATATTTATCGGAAGACAATGAATTTATTTCTTGTTTTTGCTGTACAATGAAAAAGGAAGGAGGTTAATAAAAGCACTTAAATGTGCTTCCAAGGGACTTCCCAGACGCGTTCAATTTTTCGTTTAAAAACCGGCTCCGTTTCATAATTCTTATTTAATTATACGTTTAACCACGAGTTCGAAACGATTTCGAATACCATGGAATCGAAAAATTTTTTAACTCTTACAGTATACATTTTGATTTTATTCATATCAATCGAAAATATATTCACGTTACCAATTTCCTGCATCAACTTTGAAAATAAAACTGGTAAAATTATTTTAGCTTAAAATTATTAAAAATAAATTTAGTAAGTGAAAAATGGATATAAAAATGAATTTTTATTTTTTAATTAAAATCTTTCTTTTTTTCATTTTTTATTTTCACAGTAGTATATATAAGTCAAAAGATTCGTCGATTATTTAACTTTTCACTTTTTTCATTACCACATAAACTTGAATGAAAAGAATATAACGAATATCGTATATAAAATTTAATATATTCAGGAAAATATTCAATTAACAATTAATTATAATAATTTTTTAATTACGATAACTTAAGAAACATCGTACTGTCGAGTTACTTCGTTTAATTTTATGTTTACATTTTCTCAATTCTGCACCACTGCTTGTACAGAAAATTTACCATTAAAAAGAATTTTATCTCGATCACGTATAGAAATTCCTAATATCGTGAGCAGAAAGGAATGGCAAGCTAGACCACCAGTTGTCCGAGAGTTGATGGACAAAACGCCGAAACCTTACGTGGTCGTTCATCATGGAGGGATAGCTCACTACTGTTACGACGTGAAAACGTGCTCAGCGATTGTGAGAGAATATCAAAACATGCATTTGGACGAACGAGGCTGGTTCGACATTGGTTACAGTTTCGTTATAGGCGAAGATGGAAATGCTTACGAGGGTCGAGGCTGGGATTACGTTGGAGCGCACGCACCTGGTTACAACACGCAGAGCATTGGAATATGTATCATCGGTGACTTCAGTAGTAAGTATTTTGTGAATTGTTTCATAAAATTTCACGTAAAATTTAACAATGAAAAGTGAATTAATGATGTATTAAATGTGATTGAATCGAAATTTAATTCTAATTGCGATTAACGATGGAAAGATATATTTTTATTAGATTTTTACGATATCAAAGATATTAAAATTCTGATCTTATTAACTTTAGAGTGTTTGAATTTTTCTTTTTTTTAATTTTCTTTAAATTTTCTGATAAACATTATAGATTCTAAGAAATTATTATAATACAAATTCTACATATCATTTAAATGAAAATAAAATCTATTACATTTATTAAATCTATCAAATCTATTTTTCTTGTAGATAGACTTCCCAACGATGCAGCTTTGAAGACATTAGAAGCTTTGATCAAATACGGAGTATCCCTTGGCAAAATCAGTCAAGATTACTATATTATAGGTCATCGACAAACTAAAAATACTCTTTGTCCAGGCGACAAATTTTACGAATATGTTCAAAAATTTGCACGATGGACGGCCAAACCAATACCAAAAAATTCGACAATCATCATTGGATAAATAAAAATATCGATGAATAATAATGCAACTTAATATATTTTACAATAGATATAGATATATATATATATATATATATATATATATATATATATATATATATATATATATATAT